GTTTAGTCCAATTCTGCATCCTTTCCTTCAAGGCTCAGGGGTCCAAGATTATCTTCTGTGTCTGTGTTAATTGGTTTCCCTTTTCTTTTTTGAAGAGGGTCTGTGCAATCCTTCTGCCTAGTCCGCCATCTTTTCCACCTCCGACACTATACTTCTTGAGGCCTCTGACACCGACAGGGGGTGCAGGCAGGTTTGACTAAAGGTTTTAGGTTTCTTTCTAAACAGCTCAACTATCATTAAATGAGTGCACTGGTCTGATACTATATGTCTGCTGAACCTCCAACCTCTTGGGTTTCTGACCCAAGATTGAATATAGTTTGCAGTATTGGTACATCAAGGTGAGGTACATGTTATGAGAAGTATCAAAGCATTTGTGGTGCAGACTAGTGAGAACTTATCATAATTAAATTATGGACTAAAATTAATTAGTTGCTAGGGTGGGCAATCAACTAAAATTCTCTGAAGGACTTGCCCTGACACAAATTTCTGGTGAAAGAACTCTTTGGGATACTGCTTTAAACTTGGAAAATCTTTGAAAAACTTTAAAGCAAGTATTTTGTGCTTCTTAATTTGCAAAATTCAAGTGGTTTTCTATAAGTTGCATTCATTTTGCTGATGATTTGTGTGTGACATCTGTATGACAAATGATCCTTAGGCTCATTCTAAGTATTTTCCTTACATCTAAACAGCAGAAAATGTTATTCCACCTAAGTATAATTTACACATTAAAATTATAGCAATTGTTTATTCACAACTATACTTGGGGTTTTTTTGGTACAACTTGAAAAATTATGACTTCTTTCAGGGAAAATGAGTACCTGGCCCAATATAGTTTTGTTCTAGATATGATTTCTGTTAACTTTGGCTCTTGTTCATATTCTCATTCTTTTTCTCATGTTATTTGTGCTTTCTTGTTTTACTTTTCAGCCATCATGTGTTCAGTGAAGCCAGATGGAATTCCTCAACTGTGTAGAACAGATGAAATTGGAGAGCTCTGTGTGTGTGCCATTGCTACAGGTACATCCTATTATGGCCTCTCAGGCATGACCAAGAACACCTTTGAGGTAAGCTAATGGAAAGAGTCCTCTGATCTGATACCTATCCATAGTTTCAACTTCAAACAACTATTTCCAGGTACATAGTAATAGCCATGAAATATAAGATTGTAATTTAAATATAAAACACATTTGTATTAATACAAATGATTGTACTTCCTTTTACCCTTTTTTACAGTTTTCAATAAATTTGGTTTATGTCCCTTGCTCTGACTTTATAATCAGTGGCAAAAAAAGAATAAATGCAGATTCCTAAAAATGAACTTTTTGATTTCTTATTGTTTTCACCTTTACCTACTAAGTATGCCTTTTTATAAACGATTCTGTTGAGTGCTGTGTGAACACTGAGTAGTTTGTAAAATATTGAGGGGAGAAACCATGTGTGTACTTAGAGTGCTTAGCATGGATATTCAGTCATAGGTACTATGTACCTGAGTGATAGATGAATGAAGGAACACATACATGCATGTATGAATGAAAAGGCTGACTCTGAGAACAGTGGACTCTCTCAGACCTGTAAGGACCATCAGCTCAAGCTAGGTGACAGTTGGTCAGAAATCAGTCCAGTAAGTAACTTGAGCAGACATATATATTAAATAATTATCTAAAGAGTGAGCAAGTATATATGTATGTGGACTTATATGATGTAGAATGAACAAAGAAGTTTAGGGAGCTCACATTCATAGGGCTGGGGGAATCAGTACTGAGCATCAGTGTTTTTCTCATATCATTTTACCAAGTGATGCCTGACAGGACACCTACTCCTCACTTACCTACTTTCTAGTTATCGGACATTTCACCTTTACGACAATAGTAAAACTATTGACTACTGTCTGACTGTTTAGCACATTAATGATGTATGTCTGGCAGTAATGAAGGCCAGGGTGCTAGGCAAGAGTAATGCTGACTATGATGGTTAAGATTATGTGTCAGTTTGGCTGGGCCATGATCCTCAGTGATCAGTCAGTTATTTATTGATGTAATTTGGCAGTTATGTAGTGATGTAATAATTTTCTATTTTGTGATCTGATGTGAGCATCTTCCATCTTTGCATAACAACCTAATCTTTCTAACCTAACCATATTGCTAAGTCAGGAGTAAATATAAGAGAAACACAATACTTGATTAAGTTATGTGTAAGAAAATATAAATTGGATTCAAAATGGAGTCTCATCCATGATCACCACACTGTTTCCCTCTAGCATCTTAGTGCTTGAACAACTACTTACAGCAATTTGAATTAGGTATTCTGGTGCTCTGAACAGCTCACTGAGTCATAGTGCACCAAACTCAGAGGAGTAGAATTAGAAAGGAGAAAGGGACAGGGGAAAAAATAACAAGATCAGAAGATCTATCCTGCAGAGGGCCAACAGGCAGCTGAGAAAGGCCATTGGAGACTTCCCTGGGGAAGCGCCAGCCAGCAGGTGAAAAAGGCCATCTGAGACCTCCCTGGGTGAAGGAAGAAGACACACCACACCAGTATTCCAGTGACCACACCAGCGTACCAGCGATCACCCTAAGGATCTACCTTCAGCACCTGATTTTTTCAGTTACTTGGGTTGGTTAGGTGCAAATGGGCACGTCTGGTGCTGCTGAAACCTGAGCATAAAGCCCATTGGTGTTGCAGGAGAGGTGCCCCCGCAGCGGGTCACCAATCAGGCTTGGGTCAGCTTAATGGCACTTAGAGACCTGCGCTTGACTTTATTGGTGATATTGGGACTACAGATTACTAGCAGGTACTCTCCTGACTCCAGCACCACTGAAACTGAGTGGATCTTTGGCACTGTGGGTGGGCGGACCCACAGAGGACCTCCCGCAGCAGATTGCGGTCTGGGCCTATTGGGCTGGTGCTGCAGATGGGCAGGCCCAGAGAGAGAAACCCCCTTGACAGATCACGAAGCCAGGCAGTTGTCTTGGGTCACCTTTTTGGCACCGAGAGGCCTCGGGAGTGGGTTTTTTACATGTGCCTGAGCCTGGCAGAAGGTGGTAACCCCCCAAACAACTGGAGTCCTTGCTGAAATTGAGCTGTGGGCCTGTGAATAACAGTACACCATCATCATTAGCAGCCCACTGAAAGCCCTAGAAACCACCCCTACTAACAGGGAACTTCCTTCTTCCGTTCTTCCACTCTCACCTTCTCCTCCAATAACTTCACTTATCCAATAGAAGAAACCACATTCAGCCACCATAATACCTCCTAGTTCGAACTCTAAACCTTCTTTACAACAAACAGAAACTCATATCCACATTCCACACAGTGATTCCACCATCACAAGGAAAACTGCAGAGCAACCCAGCATACCTAAATTAATAACTAAAATAATAAAATACACCAGCTTCACCTTTTCAAAATATTAAACCATAAAACCAAGAAAAAACAAATCAATACATAACCAACAGTTAAAACAACCTCAGAATGTCTAGGAAACAACAGGCAACCTCAACTCAAACAAAAAAACAGGACAAGGCATTAGAAGCAAAACCACAAACAAAGGTCTCATTAAACATGGAGGAAGAGGAGGCAATAGAATTATCTGAGAGGAATTTAGAAAATATGTTTATAGAGTTTTACAAGAGCCTAAGGAAACCCCAAACAGAAGCAAGGAGAACACAAACAGTTCCCTGAAAGAACTCAGGAAAATCATTCAAGAACAAAATAACAAGATTAATGAACAATCAGAACTCATACAAAAACAGCAGTTAGAAATCCAGAAGATGAATACCAAAATTACAGAATTACATAACACAGTACAAGCACAAAACATTAGATTAGAACTGGCTGAAGAATGCACATCCCACCTAGAAAATAAATCCCTGGACACCAGCCTGTGTGAAGAAAAATCAGAACAAAGATTTAAGAGAAATGAAGAAAACCTAAGAATTATATGGGATGACATGAGAGAAACCACAAAAGACTCATTGGAATTTCAGAACAGAGAGAGACAAAAAAAAAAAAAAAAATTGTGGAAGACTTGTTAACAGAAAACTCCCCCATATCATGAAAGAAGAAATGATATTTGTCCAAGAAGCTCATAGAACCCCACACTAGAGCCCAAGAGAAAAACACTGAGGCATATTATAATCAAACTCTCCAAACTCAAAGACAAAGAAAAAATTTTGAGAGCTGCCCAGGACAAAAGAAATATTACTTATAATAATCAAACAGGCTGAGCTCCAATTACTCAGCAGAAACCATCCAGGCAAGAAGGCAATGGGATGGTATATATAAAACACTGAAGGAAAAGAACTTCCAATCAAGAATCCTATATCTAGGCAAATTATCCATCAAATATGAGGGCAAAATTAAGGCATTCTCAGGCAAACAGAAATTAAGAGAGTTTGTGAAAACCATACCAACCCTACAAGAAATGCTTAACGAAGTCCTTCCAATAGAGAACCCACAACAGAGATCAACAAAATCAGGATATGTGGCATCAACACTAAAACAAAATCAGAAATAGAAACTCAAAATAAGACCATAAAACATTGTACACTAAAAACCAAAGAAGTCCATCAGCACACGACAACAGCAACTAACCTATCAGAGGGAATAAAACTTCTAGGTACAGACTTTCAAATGGAGAGGAAAACAGGACAATGTCTTCACAGTACACACTGTTCTAAAAATGAAGAGATAAGAATATACTCCAAGGTAACCCACAGAAAAAATTAACAATCCCTCTAAGCAAATCCAGAAGGAGGGAAAATATATGGGTTTAATAAGCACAAAACCAACTATAAAGAAGAAAAGGGAGAAAGCATTAGCCAACGAACCAAACTCAGCACAGAAAAGTATGACCAAGGAAACATCAACAACACGACAAAAAAACATAATAGAATCACTGCAATCAAGTCAAACCTATCACTAATTACATTCAATATGAATGGACTAAATGCACCTATCAAGAGAAAAAGAGTGGCAGACTGGATAAGCAAAGAAGACCCATCGATACGCTGCCTACAAGAGACTCACCTTAGACACAAAGATAAAAAAAAATTAAGAGTTAAGGGATGGGAAAAAATATACCAAGCCAATGGAAATAAAAAAAGAGCAGGAGTGACAATACTAATTTCTGATAAAATAGATATTAAAGTGAAAAACATCATAAGAGACAAAGAGGGACATTATATGATGCTGAAGGGGTCAATTGACAAAGAAGACGTTACAATAATAAATGTTTATGCACTCAACAAAAGTGCTCCAAAATATGTGAAGCAAATATTAACTGAATTAAAAGGGATAATAAACAACTCTACAATAGTAGTAGGAGACTTTAACACACCACTTTCAAAGAGGGGCGCGTCAACTAGAAAATAACTCAACAAAGATACAGAGGAACTCAACAATACAATCAATATCTTGACCTCATAGACATATACAGAGCATTTCACCCAACAAATTACAATTCACATTCTTCTCCAGTGCACATGGATCCTTCTCCAGAGTAGACCATATGTTAGGACATAAAACAAGCCTCAATAAATTCAAAGGCATTAAAATACTACAAAACATCTTGTTGGACAACAGTGCTATAAAATTAGAAATTAATAATAGGAAGACCAAGGAAAAAACATCAAACATGGAAGCTGAACAACTCACTGCTCAAAAGCAACTGGGTAATAGAATGGATAAAAACTGAAATAAGAAAATTCCTGGAAACAAATGAGAATGAAGATACATCATACCAAAACCTATGGGATGCAGCAAAAGCAGTACTCAGAGGACAGTTTATAGCAATAAATATATATATCAAAAAAATAGGAAAGAAACAAAATCAACACTCTAACTCATCAACTCCAGCAACAAAAGCTGATTCTTCAAAAAGATTAATAAAATTGATAAACCATTGGTAGATCTAACAAAAGAAAAGAAAAAGAAGATATAAATCACAAGAATTATAAAAGAAGGGGTTGTCATCACAACAGAATCAACTGAAATAAAAAAGATACTGACAGAATATTATGAAAAACTGTACTCCCACAGATTTGAGAACCTAGAAGAGATGATT